TGTAACTTTTATATCAGGTATTTCTTAAAACTTTAATTAAATACTTAACTACTTGAATATTTATTCTATTAATTTGTTTGTTTCTTGATTTAGGTATCTTTACAAGAATTTTATTATCCCTAGTGTGCCTCAATGACAAGTTCAAGATTATCAGCCGCCATACTTTTGCTAGCTATGTCCCTGATATGAAGAAGAAAGACTTATCCAGAGATTTGACAGATATCTTTATTTCTAGGGTAGCAAAGACTAGAGAGACTTTGTTTTTAGCTCCTTACTGTCAAGGGTAGTATACTGAACTTCCTTAAATTCTTTTATTTTTAAATATTTTGTAATTATTCTAATTGTCTTTTTTATACTTAGAGGATACTGGATGCTGATTGTGGTCAATTCCATAAAGCCAAGGATTTGGTATCGTGATTCTCTTCATAGGGATCCGACCAATCAACCCTTTATGGTTTCATTGTTTAATGAGTAAAATTTATATCTATTCTTCATATTTAATTCACTTTCTTGCTAATTTTTGACACATTAATATAAAATTTTATTGTCTGCTTAGGGCTTTATGGCTATACTGCACTGATCAAGCCTTACCGTGCCCCTGGTAAAAAACGACCAATTCGATGAAGCCTTCCCGTGGAAGAAACTGAACGTATTCATTAACATTATTTACTGTTCTACTAAATATGGTTTATTTATATTCTTCACTAATATAATTTCCTTTCCCAATTCTTTACAGTGCCCACATTAGCCAAAAAAAAGCTCCGATTATGGGTATTGTGTGATGAAATTCATGAAGGAAATAATCATACACAATTCTGACATAATCCCTGCGAAGGTAATATGCATTTGTTAAAGTTCAATTTATATACTTTAGAATTTTACTTAGTGTAGCTTTACATTTATATCTAACTTCAATTTGCTTTTGCATACAATACTTTGCCGACACATATTGCACAGTGTATTCATCTACTTAGATGGAAGAAATCATTAAAGAGCTGGCAATGGCTTTGTACCGTCTGTGGGCACAAAATAGACTGGGAAGTAGAAGACTGCTTTAGTCAAATTCAATTTTGTTGTGGTTTTTGGCAATTGGCCAATTTTGGTTTTGGAATTAGTTTTTTGCTTTAGCCTTTTCTGCTTGTCCAAATTAAAATTTTGCTTTGACTTGGCACAGTTGTATGACATTTGGTTTGTTACGTTATTAAAATGTATATAATGTAAATTTCTGTCTTGTATATGGTTAATTAGATTCATATGACTAAATTATTACTTGCTGTATATTGGTTTGAATGCTGACCTGGTTCTGTCTTTTAAAAAATGCTGCTTTGTATGAAATTTTATAATGCAGGGGGCTCCTGGAAAAGCAATACCTATATTTTAAATAAATAAATAAATAAATACTTGACGGTTATTAGTCTAAAACCGTCAAGTATTCTCCTAATATTTGACGGTTGTTTGAATAACCGTCAAGTATTCTAAGAATAGTTGACAGTTGTTTGAATAACCATCAAGTATTCTCAGCCAAAACATTAAAATTTGTAACATATACTTGACGGTTTTAATTTTAGAATCGTCAAATATTACCAAATATATTTGATGGTTATTAATCATCAAATATTTCCCACACAAATATATGACGCTGGCATACTTAACAGTTTTTTAACCGTCAACTATAACAAAAAATAACTGTCAATTTTTTTTTTCCTTTTGTTTGTAGTAGTGCGAAAACCAGGAACCTCATATTACCCAAATCAAAATTAATATAAAGGGTTAATATAATTTTTTGATTCTTTAAGTTTGTCCTCATTTTGGTTTTAGCCCTTTAAATTTCAAACTATAAGTTTTAATCTTTTAATGGGCAAAATGGTTCAAATTTTTATTAGATTATAGGGCTCAATATTTTAAATAAAAAAAATTTAAGGGATCAAAATCTATTGTTTAAATCTTGAGGAACCAAAACCAAAATGAAAGTAAACTTAAAGGACGAAAGTTTATTAATCCTAATATAAATTAGTAATCAACACCGTTTCTTCTATGACTTTGGAGAAAAGTGACTTTCATTTCTCATCATCCGTTTCATTTTTGAAGCCTTACCATGTCTCAAAGCTCCCCCGTTTACCACAGATTTATTACCATGCTTTCTAAGGAACCCCCCCCCCCCAAAAAAAAACACATGTTTTCTTTTCCCGAAATGATATTTACCTTTGTGACCAATGATGCTAACAATCATTATCAATATCCATTCGCTATGTTTTTAAATTTCCACATGAAGGAAAGTTATAGCATGCACCTAGAATCACTTCATTTCCGTACATTTTCCAGATTGAAACTGTTAAGCTGAAGGTGACAGAGAAATCATGATTGGCCTCTCAATGGGATGTTTGGTTTAGCTTTCAGCCAATGACACTTATGACCAAAATCTACGATTTCTAAGTCCAATTGAAGAAGCAAGATCTTGCTTATAGCTTATGAAATCTTGCTTTTAAGGCGACTTTGGAGGCACTAATCATCATCTTCATCGTGCTGGGAGAGGGGGAATTTGCCGACTGGACCTTCTTGCGTTGGTGGCCAACAGGATTGGTCGTGGGAGAGGAACCCTTGGGTGCTGTTCATCTTTTGGTTTTTCATAGCGACCAGAACGCAAGGGAGGAGCTAAAGGCCAACTGGGTATGGAGTTGAGGGAACATTAGATCTAAGAACCAATAAGCACAAATTTAGAGAGATGAAGAAGTCGATGACCGTTGTGCTAACGGGGTATAGTCTTCGAGCTAGAAGAGAGGAGTTCTACCAACGTTTGGAGAAAGTGAACGCCCGCGCTAGTTGGGCATTGAAGCTAACAATGTATATGGGAGTAGGAGATTGGGAGTGTCATCCTGATTGCTATTTTGATTTGAAAAAAATATTTTACGATAAAAAAAACTTATTTTGAAAGTAGACTTTTTACTATTTTCATCGTAAAGTTTAAACCATTAAGTTTTGCCTCATTTTGATAACTAACGTATAAGTTTGTTTGGGTCAAATTAATTTTTTGATTATTTTAGTAAGAGTACGAGAAAAGATTTTTGTCAAGTGATATGTGAAAATTTTAAATCCAATAAATATATTTATTTATTAAATTTAAACTTAACTTCTTCCTCTTAAAATAATTTAAAATTATTATATCATGTAAATTGATAATCTTTTTTCTTGCGTTTTTCATTGTTTAATAAAAGTTATCCCCATTTTAGTAATTTAACAAATTAAATTTGTTTATTTAATCATAATCAAAACAATTTTTATTTTTACTCAATTTAACTTTATCAAAAATCAAATTAAAAATAAGTTTTTTTCTGTCGCAAATCCAAATAAGCAATAAAGCTAAAGCTTCAAAGTTGAAAAAGATGATGGTGAGTTAGAAATAGGAAACACTATATACTCCCGGGCTTCGGCTGACGGTAAAGACGTCTGTATACTTTGTATTGTTGTTTTTCTTTACGTCTCTTAGGGCTTTTTAAGGTGGTGTTGTTGGTTTTTGCGGCAATAAACAGATTTGAGGGTTTCCACGGAGGCAAATCTTCCATGCCAGCTTTGATTCGCATTTTTGGGGGTTGGGGTTTGATGATTATGGTCCTTCTTGTTGATGGTTATACCTTTGAAAGGACTACGGGTGGTTTTTGGTGGCGAATCCGAATGGTAAGCTGGGGCGTAATAGTGTTTATGTCGACCTTTTTATTTGCCGTGCAATTGTTGGTGAGGTTACTTCCTTCTCCCTCTTCATTTGCTTTGCCAATGACTGCAAATGGTCTTGCGTCCGTGAGATCCTGTCATGGAGTTTGTTCAACATCCAGTTTGGATTATTTCTTGCCAATAAGAGGTGTGGATCCTTTGGGATGGTTCTTCGAACACCCACTCCTTACAATGGCATTGATGTCGGTGGCGGTGCTTTTTCCTCTGCAGTTTTCCAGTGAAGAGATGACGGGGGCTCTAGAATCCTTGGCAGTGGCAGTGGCGGCTCCCTAGAGATCTTTGCTAGGGTTAGGTTCTTTTAGGTTTCTTTTGTTTGTTGTGTTTGGGCTCCTTTTCCCGTACACCTTTGTTAAGCTTTGTACGTCTCTTTTTTTCTAATGAAATTACTATATTCTCTGGCCAAAAATTTTTTAAAAAAAAAACTTTAATTGGCTGATCGCTCCCCTCCACCGTAAGAATCCCCGTTGATCCTTATAAAGTGGAAGGATGGACGCATATAGAAGCAAAATCTTCAAGGTGAAAAGAACATAAAGGATAAGAAGCTGATTCAAATAAGGAAATGAAAATTAGGACTTATTTGATTTCTTATTTTGAAAACAAATTTTCATTTTTCAAATTTAAAAAATCTTATTTGACAATTTATTTTTAGTTAATTGTTTTTTAAAAAAAACAATAACCTGTTTTCAAAATTAAAAAGCCTTTCCTTCTCACCTCTCACTACCAGTCAGAACCACCAGTCCACCACCTGCCAAGTATGATTTTATAATTTTTTTCCAAATGTTCTTTTTAAATTATTGTCCAAACAATTTTTTTCCTTTTTTGTTCTAAAACTTGTTTTCAGAAATAATTTTATAAATTTGTCTTGTAAACAAGAAAACAAAGAACAAAAACAACAAAACAAACAAACTCTTAGCTTTCCCTTAATATCATTAGTAACCTGCACCGTTTCTTCTGCAACTTTAAACATAGACGAACAACCCAAGCGACATCTCAAATGACGAAATGGCAATTTGCAGAATTCTCTCCAAGTCGTTCGCTGAATTCCCAAGGATGCAAGTACCAACCATACCATATCATCAACAAATCAATACTAACCCATGACATTGTCGTGAAGCACAGGGCACAAGTTCCAAATTTTCAAAAACATGGGAACCAAATGTTTAATTTTCCCTCTATTTTTATTTTTTTTAAAAATCCTTTTTGGCTTTGGTTCTCAATTAGTCAACAAACCCAGAACGATAGAGAAATTATGCAAAATGAATACAACTAACTAGTTATAAAGCAAACAAAACCGAATATCAAAATTAAAAACGGGAGAAAGAGTGGAGTTCCATCACATAAATCTCAATAGTTCCACTGAAGGTAAAATATGCTAAGTAATTTGACATGAAATTGGCTGCAAAAAACATAAGAACCGCAATAGTTTCACTGAGGGTAAAACATGCTAAGCAACAAGCGTGCTGGCAGTTGTGGACTCGCTGCAAAAAAATAGAACCGAATAAGTATATCAACTAAATAAACAGAATCTGCTTTCAAAGGTGTACCTTTTTTATAGCAAAAAAGAATTAGAGTAGATATATACAGATAGAGAGGCGGGATCAGGATTTTATGTTTCTTTAGTAATGGAGAGTACTGAAAAATTGACCTTTAACACCTCTATTTGAGGAAAAGAAAAACAGGGATTCCCAAAAAAAAAAAAAAAACCATGACAATGCATGTTTATAACCAAGCACTCTCGAACTATCTCTAAAGATTATGTAGATGGCGAGTGTTTAAACGGAATCTTCGCTGTTCAAAACTCATTAACACAGACAGAGATTATTAAAGAATTTCTGCTACTTTCTTCAAATACATATCAAAGTTCCCCCATCTGAAAGATTTTTGAAGTGAAAGTTTTCCCATGTGGGGAACAGAAAATATCATGGAAATAGCTCCCACCCTCTTATTTCTCATACGGATTCCTTACTTTACCATCTTTTGGCCTCCTGAATCCCAATCATATCACGACATTTGTTATATGAGGACCCCAAATCCCTAAATTCTTTATTGGCATATGAAAAAAAATATAATATCTTATCCACAAAATAAATCAGACATACATTACAATTATTTTCATATATACAGATGTTCAAACATGTTATGAATGAGTATCTACCAACAAGGGAAATCAAATTTTCCATTTGCCAAAATATTGCCTTAAGAAGGCAAAACGGTTCACCCTCCACTCCAGTCACATATGGTTAGTTGAGCTCAAGGACATATAATGAATGTCACAAAAAGGAGGATGAACATGTTTTCCAAAAGCTTCAAACAATGCACAGAACAGAACAAGCTTATTTATGTAACTCTGTAATGACTAACAAATTAATCAACCAAGCAAGCAAGTAGAATAAGATATTGATGTTCTGCATAAGATAAAGTTGCAGTACTTACTATTTCCATACAGGCGGAAGCTTCTTTGTTTTCTTATAGTATCGAGCAAGGCGATGAATCCTGCTCTCTACCAAAATTAACCTAAACTTGGAGTCTTTGTCCTTCCTATTCCTCTCCAAATGCTTACGAATTGAGACAGCCTTCTTGATGAGGTGGTAGAGATCCTCCGGTATTTCAGGAGCAAGACCTGAAAAGCAGGAAGAAAAATTATACTCACTGTCAAAAAGACAAATTCTAGAAATTCAAGAGGTATGTGATTTAACTAGCAACATGAGGTAAAACATACCATGGGCCTTCAGAATACGCAAAATCTTGTTGCCAGTGACACCCTTCACCTGAGCAATACCGTGAGAGTCACGAAGAATAACACCGATTTGGGAAGGCGTTAAACCCTTCTTGGCAAACTTGCAGATGTTCTCTTCAACCTGGGAAAACAAATTCAACATATTATACAAGGAAAAAATAAAAATAAAAACCTGCAGGCAAATGAAATTAGATCCACTTGCAATAAGAATTCTAATTACCAGGGTCAACGACAATTATGATTCACACTCATATATGGCATTTAGGATTCGAATCAGTGCATAAAACCTCTCACAGGGTTAAAACGGAACAAAAGAATACTTCATTTACCTACGTTACATCCTTTCACACAAATTGACTTAACAGAGAATCAAATTATCAAATCGTGTAGCTTTAGATACAAGTGGATAACACAGAAAAATCTTACACGAGAATAAGGTGCAACTATCAAACATCATACATTCTACAAAGATAACCAACAAATGTATGTATCAATCCAAAATGTTAATGCTTGGATTACAGTAGTAAATTTGAACAAAGGGAAAAAGGCTTCGAACTTCTCACATCTTGACCTGAGATCTTCAACCAGCTCGGCGGGGTTCTCTTGTAAGGAAGAGCTGAAGCAGAGATACCCTTACTGACAAAAGACACAAATCAAACCGATTTAGATAACCTCAAAGTCCTGACTCAAATTATCATAATCCCCAATTTGAGATGAAAATACTCTGTTTCAATCAGAAACAGTGAAACAAAGTTTTTGATAAACCTAAAACAGATAACAGAACGTACCCACGACTGTGCATACGACCATTTCCAAGCTTGAGAAGGAAGACGCCCCTTCGCTCTGCTTCCCTGCTACCTGCTGCCTCCGGAGATACGACCAGGAAACGAACCAGCCAGATGAGGAAGCTAGGGTTTTAGATAGCCTTTTACAATGTTTTGGGCCTCTGAAACACGGGCCTAAAGCCCATACGCCCCCGGCAAGGATGGATTTAAATTTTAGAGAAAACCATTTTGAAAGTACCTATAGTTTCTTTTAATTTTCAACTTGGTACCTATGTATTTTTTTCTTAATTAAATCTTTAATTTTGCCCTATCAATATCATTAACCTTTGGATAGAGACTAAAAATGTTAATAGAACTAAAAATGCTCTGTCCAGATCATGGGATGATTTGATTTGACTAAGTACGCAACAATATAAAAATTCTCTCTCAATATACTACTACCCCGGTCGTAATTATAAAAGCCAGTTGACTAATTTAAGGAGATTAAGGAAGTAAGTTGAGTTAGTTATTTGTCCTAAATAGGTGTTATCTAGCCTAAAATATCTTTGCTAATCAAGTGTACTGACTAGAACTATCATTGTTAGAAAGGCTACTTTGGAAAAAAAAAATGTATAAATATAAGAGGCAAAGTAGATTAGGGTCTTATATTTAGAACCAAAATAAAATTTAAACATGGTCTTATATTAAAGACCAGAGGTAGTATGTTGTAAAACATGTCAGTTCTCATGAATTCTTGTGAATGACGATTCTAGCCCCATCTATTGTGTCATTGGATGCGTGATTACCATCACATCTCCCTGCAATTACCTTAATGGCTTCCATTCAGTCAAAATAAATCACTATGCACAAATTTGTTTTGGAAATATTTATTTAAGAGTGTTAGATATCTAAAAAAATTTTTGAGTTTAATATCACCCAAAAGTTTAAAATGATGGTAATGTTGCCTTTTACTTGTGATATTGACGGACAATAATATCATTACAGTTTTAAAATTTCAGAACAATATTAAAGTGAAGAAAAAAAACTTTTGAAATAGGCTTTTGAACGTGAATTTTCAATACAAATTCATAACTTTACCCTATTTCGATAACTTTTAGAGCAACAAAGTTGAAGTCTATTCATGATCCCAGCACTCCCGCAATCACCGAAGGTATTGTCTTCAGTTTCCAACCACAAGTCCATATATCTATCTAAGTATCTATTTTCATGATCTCAAATCACATCTCCCGAGCCACTTGCACGAAAGGGAAGCATCCGCATCAAGGCTGCTTTAATAATTAGACCAGAAAGGTTATTTCAATTGTTATTTTCTGCGAGAGTTGCAGGGAGAATTTTGAGATAAATGTGAATGTGATGGAAATAGTATGTTTAATTAATTTATTTTGTCACATAATAACATAGTTAATATCCCTCATATGCGACATCATTAATTTATAGAAAATTGTGAAAGAAAAAACTGACTTCACTGTTTTATTTTGATTCTTTAAATTTAAAACTGATTACTGAAATTTGATTTTATTTTGATTTGGTTATTAAAATTTAAAACCAATAGTTTTAGTTTTTCAGTTTTGATCTCAATTTTGGTTTTAGCATGTAAAATAAGAAACCCGTAGTTTTGGTTTTTAAATTTAAAACTAGTAGTTTTCTTCTCTGAAATTTAATCTCATTTTATTTTTCGTCTTTAATAAACATTGTTTTACGATTTAGAAATCAAAACTCGTGATTTTTTATAGATTAAAATTAGAATGAGATTAAATTTTAAGAACTAAAATCACAAGCTAAATTTGAGAAATTAAAATTAACGATAACATTGTCCTTTTTATATAAAATGACTCCTAAAAAGAAAACTAGCAAGTGAAAATAAAATGAAATCTGAATTACAAGAGGCGTCATCATCAGACATCGAGAAATCAGGGAGGAGACAGAAGCTAAAGCGAAACGGCCGACACGTACTGGGCACGTGTCAATGCCGTGTGAAGCTACGATGCGTACGTGTCGGCTGCTTGTGCGCGACGCAGAGCCTGGATTTTCTGCTATAAATAACAGCGAAGAAGCCTTCTTCTCGATCTTATCCCTCTCCCAATCCGAGCTTTGTTTGTGACTTTGTGAGGTTTGTTTTTGAGTGTGAGAATGGCGCAGCTGGTGAATAAGGCCAAGGACTTTGTGGCAGAGAAGATAGCTAACGTGAAGAAGCCGGAGGCGAGTGTGGACGACGTCGACTTCAAGCGCGTCACCAGGGAGTGCGTCGAATACCTGGCCAAGCTCTCCGTCTCCAATCCTTACGGCACCTCTATTCCTATTTGTGAGATCTCCTACTCGCTCAAGAGCGCTGGAAGGTAACTCGCTCCTCTAAACCCAATTCTCATAGATCTATTAACTAGGGTGGGGCTGGTTTCTACTTTGAATAAAATAGTGAATTACAATTTATTTATTGTTAATATAAATAAATTATTTGCACATAATCCGTAGTCTGCATACGTAGTTTTGGTTTTATTTAAATTTAAAGTGATAAAATTAATGCAAGGATACCTCGAGGAGGCTATTGACATCATTTATTTTATAAATTACATTAACAAGTAATGAGTATATCAAGGGAAAAAAATGATATTTGTAATTGCATAATTTTTTCGTGAGCTGTCTGTTTATTGTCTTTGACTAATGTCTTGGCCTAATTTTCTTGGTATTCTTTTTCTTGATGTAATTTTTAATTATTTTTATTAAAAACTCATTGTAAAAATCTTTTTGTTGATATATATATATATAATCAATATGGGTAGAAAAAAGTTAAGAAGAAAAAGGGGAAGGTCACTTCTGGTCTTTATCCTTATCCTTGATATTAAGAGGTATAAGAGGTATTTGGGGGTGCTTAATATAATATAAGAGGTATTTGGGGTCTTTTTAAGAGATAGTTAAAATTGAATTTAGTTCTAAATATAAAATTTTTTTTAATAGGATATTACTAAGAGATAATCCTAATAATTAACTAATTTTTAATTATATAGTTCTTATATTAACAATCAAAATAGATAGTATTAAAGTAAATCTTTATCGTAGCTACTATGTGAATGATTAACAGAAGAGTTTTGAAATTGTGAAGGGAGATAGCGAAGGGAACGATGCCAGATCCGGGATCACTGAAGGGGAACGACACGACAATACTGGAAGTGCCAGTGAAAGTGGCTTATAGCATATTGATGAACTTAGCAAAGGACATAGGGGCCGATTGGGACATTGACTATAAGCTTGATTTGGGTCTCACCATTGACCTTCCTGTTATTGGCAACTTCACCATTCCTCTCTCTCACACTGGCGAGATCAAGCTTCCCTCTCTCTCCAATGTCTTTGCCTAATCCACTGCTACTCCCTGTTTGGGATCATAGTGGGCCCCATTTGGGACTATGGGTCCTCACTTAAGGGCAGCAAGGGTACACACACATATAATACTTTGTCTAATAATGAACTTTGCTATGTGCCTCTTAAACTAGGCAGCAAAATGCTATAAAACACACACACACACACACCCCGACTTTGTGTTGTAAACTTAGTTATGTGCCTCTTTTTATCTATAGAATGATGTTGAATTTTCGTGCTCTCATAGCTCCTTTAATTCTAAATTAAATACTCCTCCGAGACTTAATTTGTACTTTTATATCAATCTTTTAAAATTATTTTTATTGTATAATGATAAGCAAGTAAGAAAGGAAATTAAGGAGGATGATTAGGATGATTTAAGAAAAATAAATCATATTTATTATAATGAACTAACTTATCTAATCAGAATAATATAAATTTTGATTCCTTAAATTTGAATCTATTTTGATACTGATGTTTAAAATTTCCAACTTTTGATTTTAATTCCTGAAACAAACTTATGATTTTAATTCTTGAAATTTTATTCGTTTCAAACCGTAATCCTTAGTAGTTTCACGTCGTTAATTTTTGCTTGAATGACACTAACTTCGCTGACCATATCAGCTCGTGTGGCATGTGTCAGGGAACACTGTATTAGCAACTTATGCCCATAAAATTCATCAAAAGATTGACGCTCCTCTGCAACATTTCGGAAATATTTTAGTACTAATAGATCTCCATGAGGATTTCAGCTAACTAATATCGATGATAATGATGATTTGATGTACTAAAAGCAATGTGCATGACTTCGATTTAGAAGCAGTCTGGAATACATAACCTGCAAAAGCACAATATTTAAACTCAGAACAGGGCAACCAGAAGTAAAATAATCTGTCAAAGCAAAATAATCAAACTCAGAACTGAGAAGGTGATGAAATTGCTAGGTAAACGTTCTTGGCATGACGGCCACCGATAAACCCACCACTTCGGTGACGACGATGTCACTCTCTGCCAGTAATATCGGTTCTCTTGACCTAACCCTTTCCCCCTTCTCTATTCTTTCTTCAACTGCCATTTTCTACTTGTCTCCTTGTGAGTGTTTTCTTTGACCTATTGCCTTTTTGTTTTTTTTTTTTTTTTGCTTTCTTCAACAATATGTCCACATCATCATGCCACATGTGTGCTAGCTGTCTTTTCCACATTATCAAGTTAACGGTGTTAGTGCCATTTCAAACAAAGTTAACGGCATGAAGTTACCAGGGGCTAATTCTATGGACCATAATCATAGATTTAAAATTTTAAAGACCAATACCAAAATGAGCTCAAGTTTAAGGGACTAAAATTTGTATTGACTCTATCTATTTGTTTGATTTAATAAAATCAGTTAAAGAGGTTTTGTATTAAAGATTAGAGAGCATAATCCCATATAATATATGAATATGAAAGTTCTCTTTTGATTTACAGCATGATCCTATGAAAACTGAGGGGAACATATAATGGTGATCGTGGTAATGTGATATTATTTTTTTTTTTTGGGAATGATGATGGTATGTAGAGGAACAAAAGTATTTTTAGTAATTAATTGATTTATCAACATGAGGTTTTGAAATTGTGGTGAAGATTTGTGTCTCGTGATATGATTTCTATTTGAATTGATTTTTTAATAAAAGATATATGGATATTTATAAAAATATTATGTTCATAGCAATATAATTTTTTATATATAAAAATATAAATATTTCTTAGCCTCGTGTACTCCATAGGCTATAGTCCTCCGCATCTGTTTTGCCATAAGAGCTGGTTAAGCAAACTCAAAGCTATTAAGCATGTGTTTGGATTGGCGTCAAACTAGCAAACGTGTCATCGGCAATGTGAAAAGTCAGTTGATGGGTGACTTTAATATTTATACTTGTTTGGGTTAAAAATTTGAGCATTTTGAGTTTGTACTTTGAAGAGAGAAAGAAATAAGGAAGAAAAGAGGAATGGTATTTAAGTAGGTCTTATATTGACTCAATAATTTGATTTTTTTTCTAGTAATAATTTTCTTAATACTTACAAATTTTTTTAAAGAAAATATTTAGATTAAGTTACTTATATTTAAAATGTCAAATTTTCTAATTATACATGGTTATGTGTTTTTTTTTTTACATGAGTTTATAATTAAATACTATTAAATGCAAATATTTCAAAAATAGAACATATAGTCATGTGTGATCAGAGAACTTGTCATAATGAAAATAAGAAACTTGACGTGAGTATTGTCCTTTTTTCTTAATAATGTATTAACTATGTTTATTTATTATTTTTCTTAAAATTTATGAAATTATATATATGAGATATACGTTATAAATTTCATTACTTTTTCAATAATTTTACCTATAAACTTACTTTTTCATTATCATCCCAA